TGTATTGATTTCCTAGATAATCATTCCACTGCTAGACAATCAAACAACTGAATTAAAAATGCTTTCTATTCCTAGAACCCTCTGACAGCATGAAGTAAGGGTTTAAACAACATGAATAGTAGATAACAGTTACTGCCTGGCAGGTACTTTCCCAACAGTGGCATTAACTCACGAAGTGCTCTCAGTGGGCCCGTGAAGGAACATACTTTTCATACTCTCTAGATGAGGGCACTCAGACAGGGGAGGTTAAACAGTGTGCCAAGGTCACCAGCTTTAAGGAGAAGCATCAGGAGTCACCACAGGCTTCAGGTCCAGAACCTCACTGCCCCACTTCCCTGCCCATTATTAGAAGGGCTGATCAGCCTCCAGGGCACCTCAGGTGCATGATGCCTGTCTGTCTAGGCCAGCTCAGCTTAACAGAGTTGCACTGTATTTACACTTAGAGTTATATCCTTCATGCATTTTATATCAGTAGTCCTGGAAATTGAGACGTGCCATGCTGTCCACTTTCTCCCTGGTTAAATTTGCTTATTATCATTTGAAAATTAGAAACTACAATTCATGTCTTTACCCCCATCAGAATGCTGCAGAAGTATTCCCAGATATGCATTTCTGCTGCTGTCATCTAAAACCTTAGATTCAGATGGATAGAATAAAAGACCAAAGAGGGTGAAGTATTTACCTTTTTTGAGATAAAGCTGAATCTTTATAGAGATTTCCAAGTCAAGTTTCTCCACCACACACCCTCACGTGACCAGTGCAAGTTTCAGTTCAGCACAACTGGCTGCAAATAAAAACTCACTCCAGGTTTTTGGGTGACTCCCAGTGGCTTGGCCACTCTTTTATTCACAAAACATGTGTCTGGGATGGCATGGAATAGGAATTGAGTTAAGAATAGTTCATTATATTCCACACAGTCACTCTCACCCTGCTGGTGGGATGGCTTGTCACAGCCAACCCCGGTGTGGCAGATCCGCAGATCTATCAGGACATGGGCCACCGACCTCTGGAGACTGGAATGTGAGTCTCCCTGGCAGTACACAGGGCCGGTCTCTTCTGTACTTAGGAGGCACCAGACATCCCAGCAGCCAAAGTTGTGGTGCAAGTTTTGGCTGCAGAGCACGTTAGGGTTGCCTGACATGTCTGACTAAAATGTGATCTGAAAGATTTCTCACAGCCCCAGTTGGTTTAAGGCACAACACGATTCAGTAGTCTTTTATGGTCTTCTAACTCAATCCTGAGTAAACAGGAAGTTGTGTAAAAATGAGGAAGCTCCCTCCGAACTCTGGACCACTGTCAGGTGGGGTCTAGGTCTGTGTTTGAGTGAACAGTGTGCAGGCAGGGAGCTCTTTCTTCCTGCTCACGGTGTCATCAAGAGAATGGTGACACTGGAAGCCAGGGGGCCCTGCTATTTCTTTTTTTATTGGACAGATGTCTTGCATGTTCCAGGGTGTTGGTGAACAGGAGCATGAGTTTGTACACTTGCCCTTTAAACAGATAAGATGCACGTGTGCAGATGTATGCTGAGACAGGGAGAGTGGAGTTGCAAGTCCATGCCTGGGGTCAGGTGTGTGGGAGGCATCTGAGACAGAGGTGAAACAGAAGGGCCCCAGCCAGGCGTAGTGCCACACCTCCAATCACAGCACTGCAGGAGTCAGGATCACAGGTTCAAACCCAGCCAGGGAAACTTAGTCACTTAGTGAGACCCTGTCCCAAAATACAAAATAGAAAAAGGTCTGGGGAATAGCTTAATTTGGAGGACCTGTGTCCAGTCCGCAGTAGGGGAGAGAAAGAGACAGAGACATAGACTGAGACAGGCACACAGAGAAAGGCAGAGACAGACAGGGATCCCACAGAGTTGTGGGGTTAGGAAGAAAACTGAGGTGTACTTCGGGCCACTCTGGGGCAGGTAAGGAGCATTTGACTTGGCTAAGGATTTGGGGGAAGTCACTCAGGCTCGCAGGCAGATAGGATAAAAATAAATCTAAGTTAACTAGTTGAGGGGAAACTAGGCAAGTGTTTTCTAGACAAGGCCAAAGGCAGGAGCAGGGGTTTCAGGACATGAACAGGGTGGTAGAGAGCCATGAGCAGCTTTTTCCCAAGTCTTTCTAGTTAGAAGGAGTTAACTGGAAAATTCATAGGTCATGAGACTACTATGGCAGTAGCAGTTGCAGGAAGAAAAAAAAAAGATTCAATTCATGAAATATTAAAAATACAAGTAAGCTGACCTTTCAGCAAATCTTTATAGTTTTAAAGGATTAAACAGGTAAATTCTTGGTAATTAGACCTCCAGGGAGAATTCACTTTGCATCTGGGTATGATAAGTATTTAGTAATTCAATACGAGTATGGCCTTGGCTTGTATTGAGTTGGGTCTCGGGCTGGTGATCACCTAGGCTAGATATGGGGTGATACCTTTAGTATAATGTTACCCCTGCCAACCAAGGCACAAACTGTTTTACTTGGGGGTTACTAGTACCTTCTGGAAGTCATGGAGAGAAGCAGTACAGTATGATGGCTGTCCTTACGCCGTTCTTGTCTAAAAAGAAGGAACATGTCAGGAATAATGATTGTGACACTGTCTTCATAGGGCTGGTGATGAGGATATATTTTATCTTCTTGAGTCAGACAGGAAACCTGAGAATGAAAAGTAATAAAGTGGCTTGTCAAAGATGGTACACGTGCCAAACACAGAGTGAAGCAGGTATAATTTTAACTGTGCTCAAGCCACTAAAGGTATTAGTTACTTAGCAGATTAGGCTATTTCTGCATTTTGTTCTTTGGAATTTCTACTGGAGACTCCCCTTTTTTGGGAGCAGCTTCTTTTTGTGCAGCTCAGGCTGTCCTTAATATCTTCGGCTTCAGTGATCGTTCTGTTTCAACTTCTTGAGTACCTGGATCTGTAGGAGCATGATGGCACATTCCTGAAATCCCAGCCCTCTGGGAGACAAATGGATCACAAATTCGAAGCCATCTTGGGCAATTTAGACCCTGTGTGAAAATAAAAAAGGACTCGGGCTGTAGCTCAGTGTAAAGGCCCTGGGTTCCATCCCCAGTACCTCCTGGTGTCCCCCTAAGAGATAGCATATATATTCTGGCTTACTGTTGTTTTTATCAAAACAAAAAGTTCAGATTGCTTGCTGAATGAAAGGAAATGCGTGTTTAAAGCACTGATGGGCACTGTCAAATTGGTCTCCAAAAGAATTATTCCTAAGATAGTCAAGGTGTTTGACTGCTACTGCAAGCCTCCTTTTGTGCTAGATGGTTTGACTGCTGCCTCTTTCAATCCTTGGAAAAACTGCAGGAAGAAAGTGCCACCTGGTTTGTACATGGGAACCCGCCGGCTTCGTGAGGAAGACAGAAAGAGCCACTGCGGGTGGGCCAGCACCAGAGCCCATTTATGCTCCTCCCAGCCCTTGTCCAAATTTGCACAATTCTTTTAATATTAATGTAAGATGCAGAGCATGACTTAACTGTGAGTGTTTAAAGTGCCCATCATGCATGGGATTGGATATCGTGGCATGCCGATTGGCTATTGGCATTTATAGTTTTAGGAAGTTACCTCTTCATATCCTTGGGCCAATTTTTACTGAATTCTTCAGCCTTTGTCTTACTGATTCCTCTGTTTTATAAATAGGAATCCTTTGTTATGTGTCACAGATCCTTTTCTCCCTTAATTTATTTCTTCCAGCTTTCTGCTTTTTTGTCTTTTGCCAGTTAGAACTTTAAATTTCTTAAATTGCAAATTCTGTGAAGCACTTAACGGCTTCAGAGTTATCTTAATCCTATCCTAGGATGGAACATTTTTCTGCTTTGTTTTCTATAATTTTTTGTTACATGTATTTAAGATTATTTTAGAAATCGAGTTCAAAGTCATAGCCAGAGAGGAGAAATGGGTTCTGGGTTTCATTAAGAGAGGATGATTATAGTTAATGACATATTGCATAATTCAAAATAGTCAGAGAAGAAGATTTTGAATGTTCTCCTCTCAAAGACATGGTAAATGTTTGAGATGATGGACAACCTAAGTATTCTAAGTTGGTCAGTGCACCGTGGACAAATGTACTGGACCACAGCAGTATACGCCACAAAAGTGTAGTTATTATCTGTCCCTTGGAAAAAAAAGAAAAAAAAGCAAACCTGTTTCTTCCAGCTTTGAACCTATTAGAAAATGATTATACGAGCCCCCAAGTTTCCATGCATCAATGATTTATTTAAAAGCACTGTTGGGGACACAAGTTTTTTTGGTTTGGTTTGGTTTGGTTTGGTTTTGGTACTGGGGATCAAACTCCGGGACCTTCCACTTGCGAGGCAGGAGGTAACACCACTGAGCTAAATCCCCGGCCTCCACAAGTTTTATTTATGAGTCTCCAGTCTCTGCATACATTGGAAAAATTCTAGTATAATTACATGGAAGACATCATTTACTATCCTTTGAAGATACGCCATTTTCAGCCTTCAAATGAGAAGCCATTATTTTAAAAATATAAAGCTGGAAAACTTTGTACTGTTCTCAGGTTGTTTTCTCCCTAGTTCATGCCTACAGAGGTGGTTCTGTACCAGGACTCTCATGGCCCGGGCTGCAGGCAGCCTGCTCATCTGGTTTGTGAGGATGCCAGAAGTAAAGGGAATAAATAATAACTCTCACAAGCCATCAGTTACAGCCTGTGTTTGACCTGAGATCTGAGACAACTCGACAGGTTGTAGGAGACCACGTCGGTGTCACACACTGGGACCTAGGACCCTTAGAAACTCCTGGTCTGTGCTGGGAGACTGGGACAGTCATAACCAGGCAATGGGATCTTTGGTTCCAGGTCCAACCTTAACAGTAAGAGTCCTAAGATCTTTAGGAAAGCATGATAGTTTTGCAAGATGTTCTGAGTCTTGGAAAAGGAAAAAATAATTCAGGGGATATTTTAACTTTCAGACTTGCTCGTACATTAAGAGTAGTTAGATTTGTTACCCATTTTTTTCTTTTTTGTCCTTTCTTCGAATATACAGCCACTCACCAGAGAGACCGAATCTTCAAACATTTTACCAGGAAGCGCCAAAGGGCTATGCGAAGGCGAGTCCACCAGATCAATGGACACAAGTTCATGGCCACATACCTGAGGCAGCCCACCTACTGCTCCCACTGCAGGGAGTTTATCTGGTAAGAGATGCCCCAGCTTCCCTCCTGAATGCCTCTCTCGGAGAAACTTCTTTTGGTTCTGTGTGATAATCACACAAAAGCATGATGATCAAGAATCACTTTTAGGATCTGAGCATTGTGTTCTCTTCTCATATGTGGACCTGGGAATTTTAATTCCTATCTCCCCTGCCCCCCCAAAAAATACTAACGAAATTCCCTAAATAGTTTCTATATCCAAGTTTTAGATATTTATTTCTTAACCATTTCATTAAAGGTATTAATGAGTCATGAACTTACCAAAAAGCATGAATCAGAGAAGCAGATTAGTCAATAAGGAGATAATCAATAAACTAAATAATCTGCCTGGGAGAAAGAAAAGTCATCGGTATTGTTTTTAAGAAGACATGAATTATGTGATGCTAAGAAAATTAGTTGTTACAGGAAAACTAAGTGCCCTGTACCTTCAGTGTAGAAGGTAGTAGCCATAAATGACTTTATACTGAAGTCTAATCCTTGGCTATTAGGAACTAACATAGTTGAGAGATTACCTAGATACTGGGGCAGTGTCTTAAAGTATATAAAACTGAATCTTAGTTTCCGTGTCAAATCTATGGTTGTTTGCATTTAGAGGCAACATTAGAAACAGTTACTTTCAGTTGGAGGCAACATGAAGCATATTTACTGTATTTAGAAAGGGAATAACACTACCTCACACACACATCTCAGAAGGGGAGACAGTGTAGTAATGTAAAAAGAGACCTGTGCTTCTGATAACACACTTTAATCGCTTTGTTTAAGGAAGGCAAAGTGCTTAATTCAGACCAGTTTCTGAATATTGATCAATTTGTACTTTGTTTTTTGTGGTTACTTTGGGTTTTTACCTTTTAGTTGTGAGAACTCAGTGCTAGTTAGTTAGTTTGTGGCATTTTTAGCAAGAGTAGAATCCTAAGGCCTTAAATGAACTATTGATACAAAGTGCACCAGTGCCATACTATTTATAGTCTTTAGAAAAAAATTCCTATTAACATTGTCTGAGAAAATGAGCACCTCTGGCATCTTTGAGCTGTGTCCCCCTTGAGGGCAGGCCTTCCTCTCCAGTTAGCCCTAGTCCCACCCGTCTTCCCAGTTTGCTTTTCCTAAGGGTGCTGCCCTACTTCCTTTTATTTTCTGTTTTCTTTTTGGTGTGCAACCTCCTTGGCTCCTGAAAGAAACTGTGCTGCCGACATCTGACCTCAACAGATGTTCTTGATAGAAACTTACTTGCTAATTCCACTCCCTCCTCTTAGGATACTGATTATGCGTGTGGACTCTGAGTCATTCAGTCACATCACCTACTGGGTATGTGAATTGAATGCAGTTCTGTAACCTACCTACTAGTGTCTTCTCATCTACAAGACAGAGACAGTAATTTTATTTTATTGATATAGCAAACTTTTAGAGAGCACTGAAAGTGCCAGGCACCTCTACATACGCATTTCCATCTTTGATAATCCCACGAAGCAGGTGCTGTTCTCATTATTCCCTTTTATAGATGAGAAAACTTGAAGGAGTAACCAGCTTGCCCCCGCCTACACCACTGGCTTCAGTGTTTATGTCCGTGACCACGTGTGTTCCGTCCCTCGGCTTTCTGTGAGGATTAGATGAGCTCACGCACAGTCTGCTTCCTCCTCCGAGTTTAGTACAACTGTGGTGGTCTGTGTTAAAGAGAAGGAGACTGTCACCACTGTCACCCTAAGGAGAGACGGCAGTCGAGGCCGTGGCAGGGAAGGCACCTACGATGCCTTGCTGGGGACTGCGGGAGTGGTGTGGGCACGGGGAAGAGGGAGTGTGCTGTCCTCAGTGTAGTCCGTGTGTGTGTGTGTGTGTGTGTGTGTGTGTGTGTGTGTGGCTGAGATGCGGTCACCTGCAGACAAGCACCTCCTTCCTTCAGGACTTGGGGTTGCCGCAGATGGAGGCAGAGGGCCATGATTGTCACCCCCCTTCATGGCACCTGGAGGGTTCGAAGCTTAATGGATTTGAATGGATTCTTGTTCTTAAGGCATTCTTTGTGTCTCATGGTCACGAACGAGGTAACAAAGGAAGATTCAAAAGCCACGTCATCCTTGTCTCCTCACAGAAATTACGTTTTTGTGAAGGAACAGGGGATGAAGTTTCTTTGTTTAAGGACTGTAATTATAAAAGGTTATTGCTGTAATATTTGACTGATGGCAAATTTTTTCTCTCATTTTGAACAGGGGAGTATTTGGGAAACAGGGTTATCAATGCCAAGGTAAGAAAACATTTTAAAAACCATGTTTAATCTTGTTTTTATGTTAAAAAATATATCCAGGGAAAACAGGATACAGTCCATTAATAGTGTGATGAATAACTCTCTTTAGCTCAAAGGAGACCCTCCTGTAATTGTAAATCATTAGTTTTGGTTAAATCTTGGCCATAACATAGAAAAGATATTTATATTTCTGAAGACAGAACACTCAGTAAAGTTTGTCTAAAGTCGGTATCTGCAGTAACACACAAGTGCTGGAAGGTGGAGCCATTTTGAGAGCATAGCCTTGAATCTCAAAGACACATTTTTTGTTTTTTTACATTGCGTTGTCAAGAGGGGTGAAATAGCACAATTCTATCTTGCTGTACCTCCTTAGAGAATACAAACTATTATTTGATTTTTTAAAAGAAATTTCTAATTTCAAAAAAATGTGAGAATTGCTCAAAGTTAAGCAGCTAATGATCTCATTACACACTAAATTTATTTTATTTTCATAGTTGTAAGACAAAACCAATGTACTAGTATTCCAGCACCATTGGGAGACCCCTTACTCAGGGCACTTGGCCAAGCAGGTTCAGGTGGGCTTATCTGGTCCTCCCTTACTATTGGTTTAAGCTTTGTCACACAGTTTACACACACAGTACCCTTTGTTTTTACTTTTGCTGCACAAATAATTGACAAAATAGCACTCTGTGTTCTAGAGAAGTAGCCTACGTGTAAATAAGGAAATCCTGCCTTCTCTTCTGGAGGAGGAGAAGTAAAACTTTATCTCCCCCAATGATGAATGTAACTGTACTGTAATACTTTAAAAGTACCAGTAAACTCAATTAAAAGAAAACATTATCTCCCTTAGAGGAAGTGAATAATACATTTTTGTGGATCTAATTTTGACTTTAGTATGTATAAAAGTTTTCATTGAATTCTCAACATTAGAAAAACTGAATGTGTAATCAATACAACAGTAGTATTGACATCTACGCTGTTAATTCAGTCTTCAATGAGAAGACTTGTCCTGAACAGTACTACTCTGCAGCCCGGACCTCCCTAGCACCAGGGCTCTGCCGAATTGTGACCTACCCTTCTTACACATACCAGGAAAAGTTGGAAACGCTGGATAGACAATGTTATAGTTCCAAAATTAAAATATATGTTTTAGAATGTGCCTCTGCTGCTTTCATTTCCTCTTTAGCTTATAGTGCTAGGGTGTTTGATGGTCTGACATTCAGAGGGTCACCTGCTGCTTAAAGAGTAGGAAAGTGCATAGATCAGGTGACCTGAGAATACTTTTGTTCACATCTTGCCAAGGGATATCAAACCAAATGCCTAGTTGCAAAGAGATATACCATGCACATGCTGATCAAAAGCAAGCCAGAGTAAGTATTCCAGACAAAGCAGAATTCAGAGCAAGGAACATTTTCAGGGATAAAGGAGGGCATTATGTAATTAATAACGGGGTCACAACAGTGCTTAACGTATGTGTCTAACAATAGGCATCCAAATATGCGAGACAAAAATGGAACTCAAGGAGAAGCAGCCAAGTCTGCTAGTAAAGTTGGAGACCTACATCTCCGAGGGATTGAAGGGCTCAGCAGGCAGAAATTTGACCTAAACAGCACCGTCAGAGTTTGATCAAATTGACATTTTTGGAACACACCGTCCCACAAAACAGGCGGATGACATATTCTTCTCAAGCTCACTGGAACATTTACCAACACAAGCCACATTCTGTGCCATAAAACCACCTTAACACATGTAAAAGAACAGAAGTCATAAAACAATCTTTTTCTAACCACAGTGGAATTTAACTAGAAATCAATAATAGAAAGAGCTGGAAACCCCAAAAATATTTGGACATTGAACAGCACTTTCTAAATAACACAATGAATCAGAGACTGAAGAAGATGTCTCTTTTGAATTTTGAAATGAAAATTAAATATAATTTATAAAAATATGTGGAATACAGTGAATGCACTACTCAGGTGAACACTGATGGCATTAGTACTCATAAGAGAAAAAAAGAAAAATTTAAATTAATAATGTAAATCTCTACCTTAGGAAACCAGAGAAAGAGGAGAAATTTATGCCTAAGGTGGGCAGTAGAAAAATGGTAAACTTGGAGCAGAAATCAGTGAAGTTGAAAACAGGAAGATCTAAGCAACTAAAAGTTGCTTTTTTTGAAAAGATCAATAAAACTGATACATTTCTAGTCAGTCTAACCAATTTTTTTTTTAAAGCCTCATTTGAAAGGTGGTTTTGGAATCCCTTTGTCTAAAAGGTCCGTTCTCTGGACCCTGACAGCGCGAAGCCCTGCAGTGCCCCACAGTGTGGTAGAAGCTCAGTCTGCTCTAAGAACAGTGCTGTTTGCTAATATGCCTCCTGCCTGCATGTGCTTAACCCTTCTGCTTGCCCTGAAAGATCGTATCTGATGTGGATTTCCATACTGCTTCACTGGGTGTGTTTATCCTTTAATGACAAGCTCAAGGCCCTCTGCGCTATGTCAGTTATCAGGATGAAATGAGAAAAAAAAAATGTGTTACTGAAAAGTTCTAACTATTCAGACAACTGACCGACCCATTCAGCAAACACTCACCGCATGTCTACTCTGCCTGAGGCATCCTGCTGGGGATGGTGGGGAAGACTGGACTACGGTGTCAGGCTCACAGGGAGGACGGCAGGCTCAGGGCGGAGTGGGATCCGAGGTGGCAGCCGTGGACAAGGCCTGGTGTGGTATATTGTCATGTAAGAAATGCTGTTGAGTTGGGTCTTGTCATAAACTTAAGACTCAGTTGCTCGGTCAGTAGTATACCCTAGGTGTAGAGAAGGACTTTGGCAGTCTCTAGAAAAATCAGCAATTTAGTTTTTACTGGAACGAATAGATCCCACAGAAGAGAGATGGCAGGTAGGGCGGGGTGCCCTCCGAGCGCCCTGAAGCTCGACTGAGAGGCTTGAATGTTATTGATGGGCAGCGAGACGCCCTGGAAGTGTTGCATCACGGAGCAGAAGTGACCAAGGTGACCCCGTGGGCAGTCAGCCGGAGGTCAGGACAGGTTAGAGAGGAACTGAGCTCAGGACTAGATGACAGCTGTTCGTGTGTGAGCAAAGGAGCCAGGATGGATGGGCGCGCTGGCTGCCAGCGCGGTAGCCGGACCTGGGAGTCCAGCCGCAGTGGCGTGGTGCAGCCTTTGTTGGTGCGGCCCTGCGAGTTTCTGTAAATGGTAACTGCTGGGTTTAATTTCCTAGTGTGCACCTGTGTCGTCCATAAACGCTGCCATCACCTAATTGTTACAGCCTGTACTTGCCAAAACAATATTAACAAAGTGGATTCAAAGGTAAGTGGATATTAGTTTGCTGTCAGCAGCAGTTCTCTGTGTGTGTGTCTGTGTGTGTGTCTGTCTGTGTCTGTGTGTGTGTGTGTCTGTGTCTGTGTGTGTGTGTCTGTGTGTGTCTCTGTGTGTGTGTGTGTGTGTGTGTGTGTGTCTGTGTCTGTGCTCTCCTTTCTCCCTTCCTCCCTCCGCGCTGTTCTCCCCTCTTTCACGTCCTTGAAGCCCATGTGGTATCACAATGGAAATTTCTGTCCCTCTTTGTATCATAGCATTTAACACTTCTGCTCTTCTGTGGGCAGGCCTTGCCTTGTGGTGCCACCAGAGTGGTCCACTGGGCACACATTCTATGGGTTGGTGCTACTCCTGTGGGAGGAGACGCTGGTGGAGGAAGACACCTGGCCCCCGGGGTGGGGTGCTGGGTCTTACTGCCATACATGGTCTTCTCTCTGAGCTCAGGATGGGCCCACAGTCTCTCAGTGCCTCTGTCTGAAACTAGGCTCCATGCTTCCCTCATGAGTATTTGTGGGGATTAAATGACAGGTATATTGTTAGCTGTATGCTTTCCACGTAAAGGCCATTGGCTTCCCCGGCCTCTTAAGAAATCGGGGGAGGGGATATATAGCTTTGCATAAAAGCTAGAACTTCATTATTGCTGCTCACATCTCAGTGTTCTGCGATGGGCACACGTTTCGAATTCTGGCGGGAGAATGCAGGTGGGGCAGGTGTTGGTGACACTGATCACTCACTCAGTAGATTTGCAAATGCCTTTGAAAGTCTGGCTGTGAATTCAGGGGTTGTTCACAGTGCACCTGCAGGACCCCTAAAGAGCAAATGTACAGAGAGGTTTGAATCATAGATTTCTGAAAAAGACCAGCACAGTCTCCCCATCAGGGATGGAGCTAGTGATATTGCTTCACATTGTGAGGCAGAGAGTAGAGTATGTGGCTGGTGTCATTCCCTTGCTGGAAACAGCATTGCGATCATACCAGGACCTTGGGGTCAGAATGTAAGTGCCAGGCAGAGGCTGGAGAGGGTGACTTGTTAGCGCTTCAGGACAGACTCGGACAGACTTCCTTCTGTATTCTGTGTGTTCTGCATGCCTGCTTTTGTTTCCATGATACAGTGTTAGTATATAAAAGACCCATTTCATCTTGCTGTCAAAGATTCAAGGAAGTAAGTGTGAGTGTGAGGGACTCAGCAGGGAGAGAATTATGGCCTGCATATAAAAGATGAAATTAAAACCTTCATTTCTTTTCTTTTTCTTTCTCTCTCTCTCTCTCTCTTTTTTTTTTTTTTTTTTTTTTTTTTTTTTTTTTTTTGTACCAGGGATGGAGCTCGGGCTCTTGCGCTTGCAAGGCAGGCAGGCAGCAGAACCAATGAGCTAAATCCCCAGCCCTAAAATCTTAACTTCTGTTTCTCTCTTCCTATGAAGTAACATGTGCCCTTCGTTTCTGTCACGTCTTGTGCATGAGCTGATGCCCTGAGTCTGAGAAATTCACCAGCACTGAGTCGAGTAAAGAAATATGTTCGACTCGGGTGTCATAGTGACACTTTGCCCCTGGTGGCTCCTGTTTTCGTTTTTATCAAGGCTATTGATAGGAAATTGTAGCTCTTGTCCTCTGGTGTTTCTTTCGCTTTCCAGATTGCCGAGCAGAGGTTTGGAATCAACATCCCACACAAGTTCAGCATCCACAACTACAAAGTGCCAACCTTCTGTGATCACTGTGGCTCCCTGCTCTGGGGGATAATGCGACAAGGACTTCAGTGTAAAAGTGAGGTGCTGGGTACCCACTTCTGTACGGGCTCACCGTGCCCCTCGCCTGTGGGTTTCTGTGGGCTCACATCAGAACTAGGACGGATAGTTGTAGACGTATTTATGAGAACATCTTAGTAGTTTTGTATTTATATGTCTCTTATCGGGCACGTAAAGAGAATTCCATCTGACCCCCAGTTGACTACTGAACATAAAGTCCTATGTTCAACCCCGTGATCTAGCCCGCTAAATAACATCTGTGTTTTGTTGAGTGCAGATGAGGCCTTGTGCTATACAATTGGTATTGGAAAGAGAAAAAGGTGGGCTGTTGCTCAGAGATGGCAGAGGTCACACGGCCAAAAGAGAAGGTTGGGTCATGAGCTGGGACTGGTGGGAGGCTGGGCTGGTGCCCTCAACTCAAATAGGCGTGGAGTGAGGTGTCAGAGCACATGGGGCTGCCCTGGGCCTTCCCGGGGGTGCTGCTATTGCGGTTGGAGGCGGGAGGGGGTTAAAGAGCAGTGGTGCTTTGGTGGTGGGCTTAGAACTCCCTGACTGTGCCCGGTGCTGTGTGGAGCTCAGGCCTGAGGGGGTGAGAGCTGACCCTGGCCTCCTAAGAGTTGAGGAACTATTGGCCTTGAGCTGTTTCCCACTGAGAGGCAGTGATCCAGCCGTGTCCGGTGCGCTTGAGCGGAAGAGTGACAGAGGAAGTGGAGCAGTGTGTGTGCAAGCAGCCAACACCCCTGGACCACCTGGACCTACCAGCCTGCTTCCGTCAGGAGAACCCACTTGTCTTTTATAACAGCAAATCCCTTCTCCCTCTCAAACACTATTGTTTCTTTTTTTCGTACAACTGAAACAACAGCCCAAGCACATGTAGCTTTTGGTTCACGTGGTTCCTGATGGTCTCACTTGGTGTGGTGTCCACCCTGAAAGGCACTTTGTGCTTTCGTGAGGTTGTTTTTGGAGTGCAGAGCTGTGCTCACGCTCACATGTGTGGTTCTTGTCCCTCCTGATGTCCTGAGGGCAGGAAGCACACCTGCAGCGACATTCACTTTTGTCACGTGGTGGCTTTGAAAGGCCAATGCCAGCTTGTGTGTCTCTGTGCCAGTCTTCCTGAGAAATAAATTTCCCGTGAAGCTAATGAAGCTAAAGCTTCAGGACCCTTCTGCACTTGGTGTTCTGTTCTTTTTTCTAAAAGAAGGGTTCCCGAATCCCACAGATTTGGGCCCCACAAAAGCTGGATAGTGTGTGCTCCCAGAGCTGGACCGACTCCGTGAAACAGACATTGTTTTGCACACTGCTCCAGTTCTGCCTCCCTCCAGCAGGGCCCACATCAGGAATCTGCATCAGGATTTATCTCTGCGGGTTAAACCTCGGGGCCTCCGTGGTCCTAAGTTGTTTCCTGAGCACACAGAGCTTCCCTTGCTTTGCTGACTTCTTAAGACTGCCCTTTACCCAGGCCTTCAAACATTTAAAAGTTGCGTTTTCTTCCCCCGTGAGGCAGAACCACGGGCTGCAAACCCTGAGAACCACAGCCCCACAGGATGCCTTTCTGCTCTGAGAGCCACCCAACCACAACAGTACTGAGAAAGAAAGCACTCCTCGGCAGCTGTTCTCTCAGAAACATCTCCACCCTGTGTGAACCGTGATCTTTCTGTGGCATTTAGGCGGCCACCCTTTATTTCACTGCTGAGAGAGACAGAATAGTCAGTTGAGTCTTTGTTATGTAATTGACCGAATCGTCACCATGATGAACATTTTAATCTTCATTTTGGATCATGCTGTTGAGTTGGCAGTGACAGGTACGGGTGATTTAGGTGAACGCATTTCATTAAGTCATGGTGAAAAAGATGACTTGAAATCTGTGAGCCTTTATTGTGCCAGGATTTCTGCTTCTGCACAAAACAGAAATACGAGGGTGGTCCGAGATACATGGTGGATGGTTAAATACAGTTTATTCCAGCAGAAGATTGCCATTTATCCCCCTCGAAACTGCTCCTCTCTTTGAGCCCACTCTTCGACTGTTCTTGCCACTTCCTGAAGCGGTTCTGGAAGCCCTCTCAGGACGTCTCCGCAAGGTGTGATCAGAAGTATATGAATGTTCTGTCATGTAAAGGTTCAAGAGCCCAATGATGAATGTTACTGTACTGTATACCGAAAATGCACCAATCAGTAAACTCAATGAGAAGAAGAAAAAAAAAGAAATATATGAATGCTCCTGACGAGGGACATCCCATGGAAAGGCAGCTTATGAAAGTTTACAGTAGGTCCTCACCCACCTCGTTCACTCGGTCTGGGACCTTGTGTCTTCTGGCTTCTCTCCCAAAGTCAGAATGGCCACGAAAGGTAAATGTTTTGAGTTGGGTCAGGACATCAAGGCAGCCATGGCAGTGCAACAAAAGACACGCCGAAAAGGACTCCAGAGCTGCTTCAGAAGCTGGCAAGAACAGTGGGATAAATGCGTTCAAAGTGAGGGAGGTGTGTTTGTTTGCTTGTTTATTCTTCTCAGCAGTGAGGAGCTAACTCAGAACCTTGCGCTTACCAGACAGGTGCAGCACCGCTGAGCTACATCCCCAACAAGGGAGAATATTTTTAGGGAGACTGGTAGCAGTGTGTCTTTTACTGTATTAAATTTTAAAAAAATCTGATCATGTCCCATAGATAAAATGTAAGGAAATCTTACAAGTATGTTTAATTGTATGAGATGACACTGTGTCACCTGTATAATTCTCAGATTCTTAAATTTCTGTGTTGCAGCACGTGTCGACTTAGATCTTTTCTGAATACCGACTCTCTGTCCCTCTTCCTGCAGTTTGTAAAATGAATGTGCACATTCGGTGTCAGGCCAACGTGGCCCCTAACTGCGGGGTGAATGCGGTGGAGCTGGCCAAGACCCTGGCGGGGATGGGCCTGCAGCCCGGAAACATCTCTCCCACCTCGGTGAGATTTTGCTTCTTCTCGAGGATTGTAATTTAAATGTTGTGCAGTTGTAGCAAGGCCGCGTGAGAACGTGAGGCACCCTCAGTGTTTCTAATACCAGCAAATGCAGTAAAATGTGTTGCATTTTAAAGAAATATGTGTTCCACAAAGAATCTATGCTGCAGTTACTGTATGACAAGAAATAATGAGCATGCTGATACCAGGAAGCAGGAGGAAGGTTGTTTCTTCTTCTTTTACATTACTTTTAAAAATTGGCTTTGTCTCAGTATAATCTGGTAAAAATCTTAGAATCCAGAGGCCTGGGCTGTGTCCCTGGCTGGGGACTGGGCAGGACAGTTGAGCAGGAACCATAGACTCCAGCTTTCTTATCTCTATCAAGGTTGAACTTGAAGATCTCCCAGAAATTGGCGGTTCCACCGTTTTTGTTTAAGAATAGTGAATTTATTTCCTGCCTTCCGCAGCAGGCAAGAGTTCCTTCCTCTGGGCTCCTGCAACTGGGTGGAGTTGGGTCATTGCTCTGGACATGGTTTGTCGGGCAGTCTCCTGAGCTTTCTCCATCTTCTTCGCCTGCCAGCTCTTGTCTCTGTCTTCCTGACCAGAGTTGGCAAGAGCTAGGAGCAGCCATGCTGTGGGCTGTGCGATCTGTGAGGTGGAGTTTCAGACCTGGTGGGGGAGGATTCTAGACTAATCTGCCAAACAGCGTCTGGGCTCATAGGAAGAGAAATGCAGTCACTGAGAGGTTCTTGATAACTTAGAAAAGAGAGCACTGTCCACTTCGTTTCCTTTTTACTGAAAAGCTCCTGCTCACTAAGTAGGGACTTGTACTGACAATGTGTTGTGGATTCCAGGGAGGCATGGGAGAAAGTCCCGGTCGGTCTGTCTGTCTTGGAGGGTAGGCAGGGAAGATGCTTAATGGTGAGAGGGATTTCTGATAGATAGGACAGTTGTTCTTCAAGAGGGAGATGAAGGATTTTGGCCTGAGCCCAGGCTTCTAAAATATGGTGGGAACAGATAGGTCAGGAATGGGAGTGCCCCTGGTCGTTCGAACCAAGTATCTTTCATATTATGATATTTGATAGAGGGAAAACCAAAATTACCTGTTATTTGACATTGCAGCATTAAAAAGGGGGAGCGTTAAGTCTAAGAAAAAGAGAAGAATGTGTTAAAAGAAAAAGACAGAAACATTGGCTTAGAATTTTCTAGACACTGCTAGTCCACCCACAGGAATTACGCAAGGAGAGGAAGTGAAATTTAAACTGGTACCATTTTTCTGTCTTTGAAAAAAGTGTGATGAGAGGGGTAGAAAAGGAACTATTAAAAGCACCGGATTTTTAGATGGTCTGTTTTATATCTTGCTGTCAATATTTTACAGCTTTAAGTAAGTAAAATCCTTGAAGTTTCAGGCTGCTGCACAGTTAGTTTGTTGCTAAGATCAGCTTTTCGTTGTTTGGTTTTGTTTTTTGCTAAAAGGCGAACAGCTTCGGGTCATTAGATGTTTGATCTGTTATCTCGTGGTAGCTTGTGTGTTAAATGCACCACGGTGGGACCTGCAAAAGTTACCTTCCTTGCTGTGAAGGCACGGGGGACCCAGAGCCGCTTTGCTGCTCAGGGTGGGGTGGCGACACGGGACCCCTGTGGTGCTGCTGAGGGTGCAGATGGCCCCTCTGTAGGGTGCACTTCTGCGGCGCATCAGATGCCTTCAGAGTTAACACTGTGCCTCGAAGAATGGTATTTCCAAAAAGTCACCCTGGGAAAATAGATGAGGGCAGTGATAACAGCAAAAGTGCATCGATGTGGCAGGCACCAGTCTAAGCAGCTTGGGTGCCTTGTGTCCCTCTGCTCCGCACCATAATGTGGGTGGCAGATGCTGCAGTCTCCCCTGGCAGAAGGGGGACCAAGGCAGGGTAAGGTAAACCTGCTGGAGGTCGAGGCTGGGTTGGTTGCGGAGCCGTCCTTTGAATGCAGGCAGCTTCCTTCACAGCCTGAACTCTCCATTTCCCTTTTTGAAGGTTTGCCTTCAAATACGCTCCCAGTGGTGGAAGTAATATAAATAACAGCTGACCAGCACTTCCAGTAGCAAGGGATTTAGTAAGTAAACGGAGTATCCAAAAGGAATATGGAAAAGCCATTAAAACTGCTGCTCTTGAGCTGGGAGTGTATCTCGGTGACAGAGCTCTTACACAGCATGTGTAAAGGCCTCACACACACACATATACACACGCGCGCGCACAAGCACACACACAAAATGAGAACAAAAATCCTCATGCTCTCCAAAGATACAGATAGGAAAAACATACATGTCTAATTTTAAGTTAAAATGTATGTTATAAAGCATTAACTGTATATTTAAAAACTTAAGAGTAAAGACATACATCTCTGTGTGTTATTAACGTATGTATATATTTTTTACGTATGAACAGTATATGCCTAAACTCTTACCAGACTCCTGGTTTAGGTATGTAAAAATTTATTTTTCATGCTTTGGGTAATTTTTCCAATTTTTAATTGAGTTTTTATTTCTTATATAATTTAAAATTCCTTATAAAGAACATTGCTTTTTCCTCGTGTCCTGGTTATGATTCTGGTACTTGATTCTCCAAGCAAACTTGAAAACCACTCGTCTCACAAAGTGGCCACTAGAGGGCGCTCCTAGAATCCGACTTCCCTGTGGGAAGCCACTGCTGAGGAAATCAGAGGGACCAAACGAAGGCATTGCTGTTTCCTTACCCCTCCCTTTCAGCACAAGCTCTACTCCTCAGCGTGGATGTATTTTACAGTGCTTTTTTTTCACCCAGCAGTAGGAACAGAACGGAAGCGGATGCCGAGGCAGTTCTGAGTTGTACAATCTGATCTCCGAGCCACACTGACCTTTCCTCTTGTGTGATAGCTGCGGGGTGAGACTGTTCGCACTTAGGAGGGTCTTCTGCACCCGTCCATCCTTCGTAGTCACACTGCCATTTCTGACTCGACTTCCTTCTCCTCTTTGCAGAAACTCGTTTCCAGATCGACACTAAGACGACAGGGAAAGGAGGGCAGCAAAGAAGGCAATGGTGTTGGGATGAATTCTTCCAACAGACTCGGCATCAACGACTTTGAGTTTATCCGCGTGCTGGGGAAAGGGAGTTTTGGGAAGGTGAGTCTTGCTGTGACTGTCTGATTGCATCAAGCTTGAGAAGTGTGGGTGTGTGCGTGTGCGTGTGCGTGTGGGTGTGCATACCTACGTTTCTCACGTGTGCCTGCAGCCTATGAACCCCAGAGAGCCTCCCCTCGAGCTCCCTCATCTTGTCCTAGGTGATGCTTGCAAGGATAAAAGAAACAGGAGAGCTGTATGCCGTGAAGGTGCTGAAGAAGGACGTGATCCTGCAGGACGACGACGTGGAGTGTACCATGACTGAAAAGAGGATCCTGTCCTTGGCCCGCAATCACCCCTTCCTCACCCAGTTGTTCTGCTGCTTCCAGACTCTGGTGAGTGGGGCTCACGATCACTGCCTTAGTGGCCATCTTTGTTGAGGAGCTGTGATACGGTGCTGAAGATTTCATACAGTTGAACATCAGAAAAGTGTTTGGAATAGGCTTCCACAGTCTGCCCACATGGGGCGATTGGCAGCTGCCATTGAGCTCTGAAACAGCTGTGAACTAGAGAATCATCCCTTCTTCCACCAGGCTGTCCTGTGCAAGGTTCACTACAAATATGGGGCCTAGGAATGAAAAGGTCTTTGTATTTACATCTCCTCTAGCAGAATCATGGTCACAGAGGTCAAAGAATAGAGCGTCGTGGGCCAATTGTCTTAGTGAATTTGGGCATGATTCTGCTTCTCAATTTTAGACTGTTTTGGACAAGAGCACAGACGGGTCTGAGAGGACTTAGAGAGAGGGAACCTTGATTTGCTATGTCCCAAGACATTGCTCCCGGCCTCAAACAAAGACCCTTTGCTCCATAGCATAGGCTGATCTTGAGTTTGAACGTGTCGACCTGTAGTGGGAAGAGCCATTAGGAATCCTTTTGGCCTCAGTTAATGGATTACCCAACCAACAGTGTTATAAGTAATAAGCAGGATAGGTTAGCTTCTAAGTGCCAACTTCGTTCTTATTGCTTCACACAGTAAGAAGTTCGGTGCTGACATCTCTGGGATTGGATTTGTTGCCCAGTGACACCGGATATGTCTTGGATCTCAGGGTGTTTGTTACATCTTTAGATATCACACCTTTATGTGGCAGCATGGAAAGCAGCAAGCATACAGCTTGGGTCACTCTCCTTTATCGTAGTAGATTTTTCCTAGACTTAGATCAGCTCTTAGGGGCAAAGGAGGCCGGAAGGGCACGTATCTAGCAAGATAAGCCATGCTGTGACTGGCACACAGCAGGCCCGGTCTGTCCCTGGGGAGGGCACCGCACTGCCTGCTGAGCGTTGGACTCTGAGTGGCGAGAGGAAATGCCGCTAGAGAGGAGACCACGGTTGGGACAGGTGAGCTAGGGTTTCCTTGTATCAGGAGGGCTCTGGGCGAGTGAATTCTGGGCCCTTGCCTTGGCTGTGACACCGCCAGGGAAGCAGAGGGGACTGTGGAAGGGGGGGCATCTTATCGGCGAGACGCGCGGAGGTGGCACGTTTCCACGGGAAGCGGAAGTGAGTTCGAATTAGCTAGGCAGAGAGCGAGAAGCTAAAATGCCATGCAGGGGAGGTGGCACTTCTGCGGACCTGGGGCTGGGCGGGACACGGCATGAGCACAGCTGCCCAGTGCTGTCTCTCAGTATTCCCCACATCCTCTCTCCGAAAGAAGCAATTTACATTAGTTTCACGTGTAGCCTTTCAGATGAACCTTTGTACATAAAGCACATATGCATACCACATATATGCATGCATATTTCTCCTTTGAAAGCACAAATAGTCGTATGTTTTGACTGTGATTCTATCTCTAACTTGAAAAATATGTGAGTATATTTTGGAGATTGACTTGGATTGTTGCACACCTGTCTGACTCATTGTAATGGCTGCTTAGTGTTCCCCGTAGAGAGCACGTCACGGTTTATTTGCCCTTGATCTTAGCCCAAAGGCCAAGAAGCGATGTTGCCGTTTGTTTTACCTGCCCTCTGTCGCCATAGATTCAGTGTACCTGAGGCTTTATTTCGGTCAGTGGTGCCCTAAGCCCCCGTGCTTTTATCTCCGCCTGCTTGTGCCAGTGTTTCTGTTATTAGACGCGGCAGTACCTGGCCAGAGCGTGTGTGCACTGACGTTTTTGCTGGAGTGCTCTGTGTGTACGGCCTGGAGCACAGCTGGGCAGGGAAGGCTGGAAACGAGACAGGAGGGCACATTTGAAGGCGTGTGCAGCACGGGCTCCTCTGGGGCATCGGCGTCTGGGGAGGCAACAAACGGCCTCTTGGGCCTCACTTTGCACCCTTTCCCTAGGGTCCGGGCTCCGTGAGGCCGTCCTCTCCGTCAGGGTGCTCACTGGCTCCTGGTGGCCTGGAGCCCATGATGGCCCACCGCCTCGTCCCTGATTCGCTGTTTCCCATCTCTGGCCTTCGGTTCTTTTGGAGCTCCGCTTGTCCCTGCCCTCTGCACTCTGTTTTGTGCTCCACACATCGTCCACACACAGCTCTGCCCCAGCCCCTGGATGCTTCCATCTGCTGTTTTCATGGAGAGCAGTGGGGTTATAGCTGTGGGCTCGAGAAGAGCATCTGGAAGGTGATCCTGGCCAAACGCCCGGATCTCAGGCTCTGTCCCTTAGGTTAGGTCAAATAGAATTTAATGATCTTAGTCTGAACATGCAGCAGTTTTGTCCCAAGTTACTGCAGATGAAGCAAACCAAGAAGTGTCTCAAGTCAACCCCAAAGGCCTTTCGCTTACAAAAGAGAAGTCCCTGATTTTGTACAGGCAGCATTCTCACCCAGAATTAAATCGTGTCGTGGTAGAAAACAAGAAATCAACCTGGAACAGTTTGGGGGCCAAGTGACTGTAGAATATGTAATGCATAATGTTCCAGCAAAATACATACGCAGTTTATTATAGTTTTAATGGCCACGTGGAATTCCCCGCGTTCAGCAGCCTGTAATAACATTGAAGTCTTTTTTTTCTATTGAAAGTTTGATGCTTGGCCACAAGAGGGCAGTGGTTCCTGCAAAGTGATTTTTTTAATCTTGCAACCAGAGAAATACACAAGGAACTACCACTGGAGGTTAAAATTCGTGGATTGCAGTACACGTCTGAAACAAAGGATAGAGGGAATGCGCCCCTGCCTTAGTTTAGAGGATAAGTGAAGGGCGGGAACCAACTTAGAGTCGCAAGAGTTTTTCTCCTTTTCATTTTGCCTTCTGAGGCTCGTTTCAGACTCCGCAGTCTAAAAGGCAGGTGTTCACTGTGCCCGTCTGCAGGAAACCCTCAGCACCTGGCCCTGCTTCCCATTATAAAGTCAGCTCTGCAGGGCAGAGCACATTAGTTGCTCTGAGAAGCTACAGCAGAGTACGTAGGGACTTTCAGGCTGCCCAGTTCCACCGGCCGTGGCTGACCGCTGAGACGCTGACCTGCAGCACCGCCCTGGAGAGCTTACCCGGGAGCCCAGGGCGGGCCCTCACATCGCGCCCCGTGAAATGCGCTACTGGAGCCCGGGGAAGGGCCCTGGCTGGGGACTGCGCGGTGCTCTCGGCACCTGTCCAGTCTCCTGCAGCCAGCTGAGAGGGGAGCAGGGCAAGCCCTGAGTTTGTTGTGTCCTCTTTTCCCCGCATCTAAACGGCTTGAGCTGACCCTGAAATTCCTGGGAGACTTATAGTCCTCAGGATTTAAAAGGAAAGCAGGCTTCCTGGGATGGGAACGCGTAACGCCGTATCAGGGACAAATGCCTCGGGTACCCCCACGTGGAGGCGGCGGTGAACACCCACGAAGCAGGCATTTTGGAGCCCCCGTTGTATTGGCAAAAAGAAAACAATAAGCAAATCTCAAACATTGGATGATAGATCATGTTTTCTACATGGGTTCAGAAACTCATACATGTTTCCCTACCTTTTTTCATAATCACATATATTGCTTGCAGTTGTACAGTTAAGGCGGCATCCTTAGACATTTCAGATGGCATTGCAAGTCCCAAGATTTTGTGAATAATCTGATCATTTAAAGACTCATAAAAAATTTGTATTGTTAGAGCTGTTGCTTTTATTTCTGATAGTCCAGCCTGCAGAAACAGTATACAGAATAAGCAGTCAGCATAAAGGTGCTTGTCGGTGCGTCATTTGTTTGTTTGTCTGACTGACCTCTCCCGGATCCTCCCACTCCCAGCCCCAGGTAACTCCCACTCTAGTCTCTGCTCTTACGAGTTTGACTTTTCGGCTGTGCGTATGAGAGAGATCATCTGGTGTCGGGCTTATCTCGGGGATGATGGCGTCCTCCAGTTTATCTGTCGTGGTACGGATTCCAGCACTTCCTCCCTTTCCAAGGCGAGCGTGTCACTGTACATGTGTATCCTGCACTTTCTCTGTGCTCCCACTCACCCGCATTAGTACCAGCACTACGGTGAACGAGGGAGTGCCGCTGTCTCTGCAGCACGCTGCTCTCCCCTTCCGGACGTAGGCCCAGTGTTAGAACCGCGGGATGATGCGCTCATCTCCTTTGGACTCTTCGCAGGGCCCGTGCTGTTGCTCTCACTGACTGCACAGTTGCACGCCAGTCAGCGGGGTCCAGGTTCCTCCTTTTCTCCCCACCACTGCAGACCCTTGCCGGCGTTCATCTTTTTCAGTAGCCGTCTGACAGGTGTGAGATGCTATCTTGTGGCTTTAATTTGCTTTCGGGGACACTCGATGTTGTGAAGTATGCTTTGATGTACCTCTTTTGCTTTGGTGGCGGTGGTGCTGGTGGACTCAGGGTCTTTGAACGGAACGATGCCCCCAGCTCTGTTCGTTCATTCACGAGGTGGGATCTCACCAAGTCACTAAGTTGCCTGGGCTGGGCTCGAGTTGGTAATCCTCCTGCCTCAGACTCCTACAGTGCTGGGATTACAGATATATACCACCACGCCCAGCTTCTGGTGATTGTTTGGATGTCATTTTCTAAGAAATGTCTGTTCAGATCTTTTGCCCATTTTTTAAAAGTCGGGTGAGTTTCCTTACAGTTGAGTTATTTGTTTCTTTTCTTTTATGAAAAAATTCATAACCAAATAATAAGAAAATAACAATAGTTATTACACTGCGTGTATCATGATCTTCAAAGTATTTACTCAGTAAAAGATATTTTGGATATTAACCCGTTATCAGATATATGGTTTGCAAATATTTTCTCCTATTCCACAACCTGCCTCTTTACTGTGTTTCCTTTGCCATGCAGAAGCTTTTACACTTATTACAATCCCATTTGTCTCTTTGTGCTTTTATTGCCTGAGTTTTGGGGGCCACATTCCAAAAGTAAGTGCTGAGACCAGTGTCATGGAGCTTTTCTTGTATATTTTCTTCGAGTGCTTTTATAGTTTCAAGTCTTACGTTGA